ATCTTTCTATGTATTTGTGCTAGGAAACACACATAACTACATGCAAAATATTTTTCGAAATGAAAAGGAAAAACAATGGTACCGAATTGAAAAGGCATATTTCCTTTTCTCTGCAACTTTGTCCCTGAGCTAATGATTCTATTCAAGAAAATTATTTTCGTTGCAAAATATATTCAAGTGCTGTTTCTTCTACTATTCTTGGTTTCAATCCCAATAAGTCATTCAAAATTATTACAAAAAACTAATAGAAGTATGACTGACATTTTAATAGGGCGATCAAATATGGTGGAATGTTCATGATTTCAAATAAAACTGCAAATGAGCTAGCACCATCACAGTTAAGGTGGGAGAAAAAAACATTTAGAGATTTTAGATAATGTTCGAGATGGACCGGAATTAAAAAAGGAAACAGTTCATACAACTCAAGTTTTTTCACATCAAAATGTCATACCTAGATCTAGGCAAATTTAGCATATACATAATATAATGAAATATGTATGTAGTTACTGATGTGCTTACTTGCTAGTTTGAAAGTAAGGCTCTTTTATAGTGATGGGCATAATTGAATGATTCTGAGAATCGAATGATTAGTACTTGAGTGATCCCAAAAATCGAAATATCATTCGAATTAAATCACTCGGATACTACGTCACTCACCGATTTAATTCGAGCTCCGGCGATGCGAGCAATAAGCACGCAATCACTCGATGCTCATGAGGTCATGTGCCATGTGAAACGCCCACATTAATTCGCTATAAGGTTGCTATTCACTTGAAGGCGGGAATTGTGAATCGGCTACATGGCGAAATTCAGAATAAACTGGATTATTTTATGAGTTAGGATTGTTTGAATTTGTCGCACTAAGAATACAAACAGAGAGCATTGAAATTGAAACAGTGGCAATAATTTTTCAGTTTGGATGATTCGAAGCCGTTGCAACGAAATTTCTGTTATTACTCATATATCCCACAATTTTTTCTACTCTTACTTATTATGTAGTTGATACCTTTATTCCGTTATTATTACTATTTTGATATTGAACAATGCGACCTGGAGCTAAGAAATCTATTGTTTGGGAACATTTTGACAAAATAGAAAATGGTTAAGCTCAGTGTCGCATTTGCAAGAGTTCTGAAGTTTTTTGGTAACACTACCAATTTAAACCAACATATCATTTATTTTCATTATTGTAAGGACTTTTATTTTTTGTTTATGTTTTCAATATATTTCAACAAGTCATAAGCCAACATTAAATTTCAATAAAGTTTGTACTTGTAATTATTCAAAGTTAATCGTCAACAAATTTCTGAACATTCTCAGCCCAAACTTGAATTTCACCACATCCTACAAACAAGTGTCGGTATATAGGCCGGCACTGCACTGGTGCGTAGCGACGCAAGACTAATCCTGTTTTCGACTATTTCACTCACTACTAATTTGATTTGATACATATAACATTCGAATAATCCGAATCATTCGAATGATTCCATTTGACATCTAGAGATATCTTGAGTGATTGCAATAATCGAATGACCGCTTATTTTCAATTCGAATGATTCCATCACTACTCTTTTACAAACATTGAGGAATCTATTATAATCGCCTTAGCTCATTCTCAAACTTATTTGAATAGGTTTGCTACTTGTAGACTTGTTAGGTATTTTGAGATAATCTTTAGTAACTATCTGTTCCATCCAGTAGCGGTTGAAACTTTTGGTGTTTATGGCCCGGAGTCTCTGTTATTCGTTTATGAACTCGGAAGGAGAATAGGCCAAGCAACGAAAGATCACCGTTCTACCTTTTTTTGATAGAAAGAATCAGTATTGCTATTCAACGTGGCAATGCTGCTTCGGTCCCTGGAACAATTCCTCCTTTACATAATTTTGATGACATCATGCATTGCCCTAATTTCAGTACGGAACTGAAATCTCGAAACAAGCCGAGATATGTGGATATTCATCAGTCTCCTATAAAGGTTAATTCACAGGTGATTGATCCACCTTCTTCTTTTCAATGCAGTCAATGGACTTCGGTCATTCTTGCCCCCCAAATATGAGTTGGAAGTCCTTGTAGTTCTGGTTCCCTTTCAGTGGAAGAGCTTCATGAAGCAAGAGCCGAATCAATCCCTCTACGAAACCCTTCTTCACTTGGAAGGATCGATCGCAGCTAGAGAAACAGTTCTTATGGAGATTCTGTGAAACATGTTCTTCTTACGAATCAGTAGAGTGTTGTCCTGAAAATCTAGAGAAGAAAATTGGATTGGATAATTTAGGAAACACTTGCTACATGAATAGCATTTTACAAGTGTTGTTCATGACAAAGAATTTCAAGAACGAGGTTTTAATGATGAAAACTCAAACACCTGTTCATGCAGCTGCAGTTTCGTAAGAATGCATCATCTTTCCCTCCAACCGATTTCCTGGAGTCTTTGAAGTCCACTAGATACTCGTTAGGACAACAAGAGGATTGTTCCGAATTCTTGGAGTTCTTGTTGAATACTCTTCGTGAGCAAAACAATAGCAAAATCAATACTCCTGACCGCTCTGGATTGAATGATTCCATACAGTCCATCTCGTTTTGTGTTTGTAAATCTTTTGCTGGAAAAATCCTCACTTGTTTACTTTGTAGTGAATGTTCAAGAGGTAACGAAAACTTATGTGAATTTCTGGAACTGCATCTAGCTTTTCCTAATATGACTAATAACCAGTCCGTGCAAAGCTTATTGTTGAATCATCTGAAAATGGAAATTTTAACAGGTGATGATTTTTAACAGGTGATGCGCCAAACTAACTGACTGTTATAAGGAAACAAGTATAGCTGAGGCACCAGTCAATCTAATAATAACACTGATGATCTTCAAACAAGACTCAACCTCTGACGGAAGCAAGAAGCTCTTCGGAAAGTTCAAAATAGATGAACATTTCAATCTAGCAGACCACTATTGAATTTGGTCATTATTACGCCTTGGTCAAAGACGAAACGGACTGGTTTAAGTTTGACGATAGTCGTGTCACGAAGTGTTCTGGCGATGTATTGAAGCTATTGGAGCCTCTGGAGACACCCTACATTTTGTTTCATGAGAGAGAGGACATTGGCAAATCAAGATCTTCAGATGATGTGGTGCTGCAGGTTTTTCCGGGTTTTCCTGCAGCTGAAAAAGCAAATGCGCCACTTGAATCAATGAAGTCGCCCCGGAGTGACAATTAATTTTTATTGTAAATCGATGGATGTAGCCGTTACTACGTGGTAGGAGATCATGATGAAAAGAGAAATGAAAATTTCTATGTTTTTTACCACTTTTATTTGTAACTAACGTTACTGCAGTTTCGTCCTATAAGGACATTTTCAGTTTGTTACAAATAAAAGTGGTAAAAAACATAGAAATTTTCATTTCTCTTTTCATAATTTTTATTGTTGTGTTTATTTTTATCGTTGTAATATTAAATAGTCATCTTTAGCAATTCATAACATTGCTTTTTGGCTGGCATGATCATTGAAACTACATTATTTGAAATGACTAATAAAATATTCAAGTCTTAAGAAGATAACAATGTTGACTGTACATATTTTGATACAATAAAACAAAACTTGAGCACTTGTAGCACGTTGTACCCCAAACTCAGTGGGAGAAATCACTCAATGAAAATCAAAAACAATAGCATGAGTAACTACAGTCAAAGATTTAGGCATGTCCCTTTATATTTTTTTAGTGATATAGCTGGCAACTTTGTCAATAATTGAAACCAGTTTCTTTTCAGAACTTATAAATTTCTCTAATGAAGTGATGAATGATGTAATGGTTCACTAATTCTAGACTGGTACCTACTTAACTGAGAGAAAATTATTGTAGTAAGCTTAAAAGTCGATCAAATACTTGAAACTCCATATTAGAATGAATGCTGTCAAAAGAGTAGCATTTGCTGCAAACACTAGGAATCATTTATCGATTTCTTTTGCAAAAAGCTGAGCTGAGCCTGATACGGTTCAAGAATATTGATGAAAAACTCCAATTTTAATATAGCCAGAACCTTCTATAATTCCGATTTATATGATTGTACATGCTACAGCGTCATTTGGGAAGGTAGTAGTGAGGCTACGCGGGTATTTGATGAACTACAAAAATAAGAACTACTTTTGAGTTTTTTGAAAGACTTCACCGAGATAGTGCAAGACATGTATCAAATTACATCATACCATATCACCATCTGTAATATACAAAAAGAAGTGCTTTATACTCCTCCATAGAATTTTATAACTATGCACCTTCTGCAATAAAAAGTAACAGAAATTGTGATCAAGTTAAAAAAAATACCATTCACGATGCTTCAGGATCGAGAACCTTACACATGTATCAAATTACATCATACCATAGACAGATTGAAGATTATCAAATCATCATGCCCATTGAAAAATTACATTAATATGAAGGTATGATATTTGTCAAAGCAAAAAAATTCAATGCATGTATTACTTTTTTTTCATCAATTTATATGTTTAATTCATTGTTTTTCACTAACTTTTACTGTAAGTATAGTTTGTAATGTTATTCAATGGCAAAATAGCTCACAAGTTAATAAATTATAGGCCCTGAAGAAACTTCCCATCAGAAGTGAAAGTTTGGCAAAGTAAAGCAGAGTTTTGATTTTGATGTTTGACTAATAGACTCAGATAATCCACATATATCTATATCTATATAGATTATAGTCCTTATAATATCAACAGCTTTTAGAATATAACGAATATATCCTCTGATACCTGTAAAAGGGCCTGCTTTCAAGTTAGCAAGTAAGCAGTTTCAACTACGTATTACACTATTTAATGTCACAAATATTGGCTTTGGAAATTACAGATTTGGCAGCTCTTAGATTTTGATTTGAAATGAAAGTTTACCATACCTATTAATGTCAGTACTCGTGGCCCGAAATGAATAAAAATAATTTACAATAGGCTACCATAATAGTCATCAATCTCATTTGGATATTAAATTAAAAAAAATCTTATTCATTCCACAATATAATTTTATTCCAATAACAGATATTCAACAAAACAAAATATAACGATAAAAAAAGTATGTACAGGAATTGCTAGATATTATTTTATGTAGATAAAACGATTTGAGATACATGCAGAAGCATGTATCTGGGTAACAAATGTACACCAAGTTTGATAATCGTATAGACATATTTCGTCACTATAGATATAGTACCTACAGGGGACAGGTTAAGTCAACAAAGTATATTATGCACATAATTTAGGTGAAATATTGGTGATCAGTAAGAAAACATTAATTCCCAATATTGTATATCGATACAGAAGGAATTCTCAAGGTTCAGATGGAATGGTATATTGTTTCTTACTTAGAGTAGTATCAGTTCGTAGATTTATTTGTTATAGTTGAATAATAATGAAATGTTATCATCTAAAACATACAGAGTAATTTCTGAACAGTCAAAAAGGCGTTCCTCCGGGATTTACAATGAGTCTGCAGTGCTGAAAACACAAGTCTACAAGCACTCTTAGGGCTGCCTTATGTAGATGAATATGGATTGAGACTGTATATGCGGACCTGGTGTCAGGAACATATATAATCATCACGCTACAATGCTAGATCAAAGTGATAAAAAGAGACCATTCTGGAAGGCCATGATGAACCCCTTAGTTTCTGACTCTACCTTAAGACAGCAAAGCTTGCAAAAGCTGAGATTTTCAATGTTGTGGAGCAGAAAACTCCATGCATACGCATTACCTTGACTACCCTCAGAAGTGATGTGATCTCTGTGGCTTTGATGTGAGCAATGGTGGTCACCTCGTTCAGTGCCGAAAATAAACCAAGTTCATTGGCCGCTAGGGTAACTACCTTTAAAAAAAATGTTTCATTTCCTGCTCTTTCATGATTGTGGACAATGGGAATCTGACAAGGGAATCTGATCTGATAAATTTACAGAAGAACCATTCTATTATGCACTATTTATTCTATTATACACAATATTACTTTATGAAAAAAATTGTACATGATAAATAAACCTCATTTTTATTATTTCTATTGCAGGTCACAATCATTTGATTTTTTTATAAATAAGCATCAATTAGTATTTTTATATTCCTTTTTATTTCTACAAACTTATGACAATATTTTTGACCTGGCATTTTTTCAATATTTTATTAATTTTTCCCCAGTTTGTAATAGATTTCCAGTCAGTCAGCGCTTTTTTAGACAATGGGATTTCGAACCTTCATCAAAAAACATTGTCAACCATATTCAAACATATGCACCGTTCGAGTACCGGGCCAATAACGGAACCTTGTGGAACGCCAAACTCTGTGAAAACTAAAAATGAAATTCTTACTGATCACCTTCAACAAAAACTGTCCCCTCAACTCTCCGGTGGGGGAGGAGGAGGTGGCGCGTTGGGGGGCGCCTCGACTGGCAACGGCGGATTAGCCGAACCGTGCGGGGGTGGCGGAGGCGGCAGCATCATCTGCTGATGCTGATACATCTCGGGGTGGTAGACATACCCCTGGCCGTAATATGGGTAAACCTGTGAAGCATCGTGGTAAACATATGGAGGCGGGACAGTCACGTTTGGCATGCTGGGAGGCGGTGCCGCGGGAAAAAAATAGACAGGGTTCGCAGGTGGCGGTGGAGGAGGATGTTGGAACCTGTAATCGCGAGGATGCGGCGGGGTGTACCCGGGAGGCGGCGCGGTGTACCCGGGAGGTGGCACCCTGTGCTCGGGTGGTACCGTGTATCGATTCGGCGCATGCGCAGTAGGCCCCCCTAAGCTTACCTTGCTGCTGCTGCTGGAATGCCTTCCATTTGTCTTGTAGTCCTTGTTCAGCTTGGGAACTTTGACGGGTCTGCTCTCGGACGGTGGCGAGGATGGCTCCCTGTCTCTCTTTTTGGCACCTCCGCCGCCGTCCAGGTTGGGGCAATAGCTCAGCTTCTCCCTGGGAATCTTCAGCTTGATGCCGACGCTCAGCGGTTGAGAAGACGGGGGCGGCGGTGGTTGCGACAACTCGCCGATGCTCTCTGAGTTGATCTTATTTTTTGGAATCTTGATTTTGAGACCTGGGGCGGTGGGGGCCGGTATCGGCAAGGGCAGCGGTGCCTCGGTCACGATCTTATCCTTCTGGATCTTGATCTTGATAGGCTCCGGCGCCGCGTCTGGCACTGCCTCCTTACTGCGGTGCTTGTCGCGCTCCTTCTCGCGGTCCTTTTCCTTGTGCTTCTTCTTCTTGTCGCGCTCATCGCGGCTCTTGTCCTTGTGTTTGTGCTTCTCCTTGTTCTTTTTTTTGCTCTTATGGTGGTGCCCAGAAGACTTGTCTTCATTGGCTTCATTCACTTTGGCGACCGGCAAATGCGTAGCGGTCGTCGCTTCCTTCAGCCAATTGCTGATAACGGCAGGGTTTGTTTCAAGGCCGTTAGATACTGCAACGGGTCTCTCGGTCCCTTCGCCAAGGGGAACCACGTCCGGCACTTCGTTGGCACCGACTGTCTCCGTCTGCAGATCCACGAGAGGCGTTATAACATCAGGCACTTGTCGGTTAACGACGTCCGGTACTTGTCGGTTGACGACGTCTGGAACTTGTCGATTGATGCCGATCGTCGTGTCCCGCATCAGGTTCTCGAACCCTTCCATCTGGTCAATCTTTTTCATGACTGGCCGCAGCTCGGGCTCTGAACTACTCGACGGATTTCTGCTGCGGCTGCTTTCCACGGGTGACGTTAACGGCGATAGCGCAGTAGGCGGTAACGTAGGCTCGGGCTGCTGTTTGTTGCGAGGGGGCGACGGTTCAGGCGAAAATAGGCTTGGTCTCTTGATAACGGCAGGCGTTGGAATCTCTTCTTTGACAGACTCGGTCTTGGCTGCAGAGTAAGCGCCCCCATTGTGGCTGTACGGCTTCACTGCAACGATTTGGCTCTGCTTCGGACCGGACTTGGACTGATCCGCGGCATAAGCTGCCTTGTTTTTCTGCGAGGTAGATATGGGTTTGCTCGAGTGCGTCGGTGGCTTGTCTTGGTGCTTCTTCTCCTGTGGCTCCGGCTTGGCGTGATGATGCCTGCTCTCGTCGTGCCTGCGCACAACAGGCGCATCAGGCTTCGCGATCGGTGCGATTCTCTGCCGACTCTGGTCGATCCGGTGCTTCTCTGTTGAATAACTGAAACCGCTCGCCTCCTGTTTCGGTGCGATATAGTCCCTCTTCGAGTCACTGTTACTGCTCGTCTCTCTTTGGTCTTTGTTAGCGATACCAAAGGGAGAGATAGGAGCTTCTCGGAGAATGTCTCGGGGTTCCACGCGGCTGCTAGAAGAGTACCCCATCGGCGGTCTAGAGTGCGGTTTCAGTTTGGGGTCAAGAGGAGGCCGATGGTGGCCATGAGGTGGGACTTTCGGTTGAACCGGCATCGGAGGTTTGTGGTGGGATGGTGGTAACCGATCGCGATTAGCTCTGTCACGTTGCTGCTGGCTGGAGGACGAAGAAACAGAGTCGTGCGGTCTCGAAGATCGGTGCTTGTGTGGATCGCCTTCTACGCTCGATCGGTGCGCATGCTGCTGATCCCTTCCCGGTTCTTTGATTATCTTTCTGGGATCCTGATCCTGGAAAGAAAATATGAGCAAAAATGTGTTGAGTGGAACGAGAGTTGTAATTTAGAATGGACATATTCAATTCATTCAATGGACTATATCGGATATGGATTTGATTTGGAACATGTGTATTTTGTCCCAGTTGGTTACTCTGTTCTTTTGTCATTAGTGTCATTTGTAATAATAAATGTTCACATTATCCGGATCACTTTCAGGGGAACAAAAAAATTCATGTTTCTCTTTCACTGTAATTTCAAAGAGTTTTCCACAAATTGAAAATTATTGATATCAAACAATAATTATGAACATCTCCCTCAACTGCATTTACTGCTCAATAGCCACACAATTAACAAAGAATATAAAATCTACTGCTAACCTACTGAATAATTTGAAAACAGCGTTTCCCCTATTAAATTCTTTGATTTTGTATGACACTGATATGACTTGAGTTGATATCAGTAACAACTGAAATAAAAAACAAAAATTATTCTGCAGCTGCCAAATGAAGCACCTATCTATGCTTTGGACATCGAAAATTCATTTGCCACTGGTATGTTTCCTTCTAGCTTAAACTCTGCAATTGTGATACGTCTTCACAAAGGAGGTTTCATGGATCAAATCATGAAGAATTTGGAACCTCTGACATAAAATGGAGCCATTGAAAACATTTTTTCCTTATCAGAACAAATGTGATGTCTCTTGTTGCAATTTCATAATAATTTTGCTGTTGTTTTTGAATGTCTACTTCAATGCTTCTTTGGAAACAGATTTGGCAACATGAAATGCCCATTCCAATTCATTTGACCACTGAATAACCGTTTTCAATTTTGAGTAGTTTGTAAAACCAATAAAATAAAATAAAAGATTCTTGCAGTTTTTCATTAAGGCAGCATTGACAACACCCTGAATTATTTCTTTAATGAACTTAACAGATTATCAATTTGGGTGCTATCTCCAACCTGTGTCAGAACTAGTGATAAAAATTCACCTATCAAACGCCAGTTTAGGAAAACAGAATCATTTTGAAATCTGAAGTGTATTTGAGGTAACGTCATGAATAACACAATACTCACAAATTTCTGGTTAAAGGTTATTGCCGGAGGATGACTGATGTCCCCTACGGCCATGATCTTTTCCTTCAACCTCGAAGGACAAGACTCGAATATCACCAGGAACTCTTCAGTCAGTTGTTGAAGCAGCTCTGCTGTTACCGTAGGATCAACGTACGAATACCACTCTCTGTTTTCATTGGATAGCGGGATCTCCCAGTTGGACCACTTGCATGCCACCAGAATACAAAAGCAGGCTACAACTTTGGGTTTGTATTGCAGGCACATTGTAGTCAGGTGTAAGCTGCGATAAATAGGTAGGTATATTTTTTCATAACGAGCTTTATACAAAGGTTATAAAAAACTTATCGCAGTACTCAACAAATTTAGATATTTAAAATTCAAATTCATATGCAATCTTGAAAGTTCACCAGATATAAAGGCCTAGCCTGCAATTCAAAAATATTGTAGTAAGTGAAGGTTATAAAATAAATTTGAAAAGTCTGAAATCAAATTATGATTCCAAGATCATTGTCACTCCTCTTTGAAAATAAGCATTTCTGATATATGACAATATTTATATAATGAAGCATTCAAAATGATGTTTGAAAATTTCAAATCATATACCTAAACTAATATCATCTGAATCAGGAAAAGTGAAAAATAGGTGCAATGCTGATTTAGATAGATAATTTTATTAATCTCCATAAATCATTTACATGAAACGCAAGGTGTTTCGCTATACAATAGCTTCTTCAGGCGTGTCTAGGTGTTTCTTGAATATGTTATGTATTTTTATCAAGTATCGGCTGATTCCATCACATATACTATGAAAACTATTTACTATGAATTAATTGAACCTCAGCTTTGTTCAAACATACCTTTTTATCGAGGATATAGTACAAACCTTCACTCCTTTTTATTAGTAATGCAAAAAAGGCTGATTTTATGCAAGGCAAGTCAGTATGCTGTCAAGTGACAACGAAAGTGTAAAAAAGATCTTGAAAGTAATGAACTAAAACTAAATTTAAAAATGTTCTAGTGTTGTCTAAACAATCAAAATAAAGTGACACTTTCATCAGTTAGAAGCAAACTTTAAGTTATAAAAATATGTGAAAGCAGGGTTATATGCTGTGAAATGGACTGTCTTTATCTTTCTCCCCTAATAAAGAGCAATCATAAATCTATAGGGAAAGTTGGTCAATTCAGGTACCTAGGTCTAACAGTCGACCAAAAATTAACCTGGGAGGCTCACTCGGACAAATTTATCATAAAACTGAGTATCTTTTGTGATAAGACAACTGCGAGGAACAGTATCTACATATGTACTTTGGTTAAGTACAGTCCTTATTATCATATGGCCTGGTTTTTGGAGGGCTTGGCACGTATGACAAAAGGGTTCACAGTACAAAAAAGTCATAGGGTGAATTGCTGGTTTACATTACAGAGATTTGTGTAAGAAATCAATCCTTCATTGATTTTTCAATATTGACTTTACCCTGTCTTTACCTTTACATAATAACTTTGAACATAAAAAAATCATGAAACTCAGTTTTGTGAGAAACAATATGGCACATGAATGTAATATATGATGAGGTAATGAAATATGTTTGCCTTATTCCCAATTAGCTCTAGGCCAGGATTCTGCAGGTTATCAAGGGGTAATCTGCTATAACAAAACAAATGAAATACTTGGAAATATAGGAACTCACAGCAAGTGGAAGAAACCTTTATTGAATTATCTTTTAGGAAATGCATTTTACTCTGTTGATGGACTTCTATTGCAATTTCAAAAATCATTGCATAATAAGTAAACATAACCGTCTCCGATGGAAGTAATCCATAGAATTGACAAAAAGACTCAATGATGAATGAGGCTCCCAAAGCAATACTTTTGCAAACCAAGCTTTGACATTGACAGCCAAACAAGATTCGTCTTCTGCCTTTGTCTACAGTTTTTGCTGCAAAATAACTGAAAGCAGTGCACAATATGCTCTATGAATTAATAGTATAACCCATTATAACAAACTTGTGGGTTTTATAATTTAAATTGAATGCATTGATATATATATCTTTTATAAGACACACTTTTGGATTATTTGACTCCTTCATCTCAAACTTCTGATGGAAGTACAATGAAAAGCACGATATGTCACACAATTTATCTACAGATATTTGAATGTCCCACTAAAAGTGTTTACTTCATTTATGACATTATTATTTTGAGTTCATAATTTTTATAAGGAATAAATTGTAAACACTTGTGATTTACTAAATTTAGTTCAATGGATTTTCCTGATTGGAATCCGTATTGCTCCTGAATCAAAACACTTGTTGGTTGTTCAGTGAAAATCTTACGATAAAGTGATTCAAATGAATTAGCTAGGAAAAGTAATTCAGATGTAAAAAGTTCTCACCTATTACTTGCCATGAAATATGAGGTCTGAGCTAAATCCTTGCTGGCTCTTACCAAGTAGCAACATTGAACGACATGTGTGTGCGGGTGATCTATAGCCACATCAAATCCTAAAGTTTGCAGCAAGATATTTTCATTGAACACTAAATCCTGAGATTGGGAAATATACCTGAAAATATAATATAAAAAAGTAGAAATACTAATGATACTCGTTTTTGATTCATTTATTTACTAGACAACTTATTAAAATAAAGATTTGAATGAACAAGGAGGCTGACATGAAACGAAGTTGCTTACAACAAATTGAAATAAATTTATATGACTACAGAAATAATTCCAAGTTTAGTAATCAAGATTACTTTTCAACTATTATATTTCTCAAGCAAAAGCCATTCAAATTGGAGAAAGATGTGAATCATTCACATATGTTTCTTTCAGGCATGTAGAAGTACCCTATGAGTATCAAATAGATAAGAAATCACTTTTTCTCAATTTGAGAGCAAACATTATATTGGTCAATTTTTTTATTATTTCGGTATACCTGTTAATGTCGAGTTAAAAATATATTGTGAATGAAATTTTTAAAATATTTCTTAAATAGTTGTTCAGAGTTGAGGATTCTTATATATGTTTTATGATTATCAGGAAGATAATTGAATAATTTTGTTCTCAAATAAATATGACTTTTTTGGCCAAGAGATCTTGAGCAAAAGGTTGTTTCAATTTTTGCGTGTTGGATACTTCTTGTTTCATAAGGGTTTGTAATAGGTTGTAGCTTACTTCTGTTTTTATATAAATATTGAAGTAAACTGTATAAACACAATTGTCTTACATCAAATATTTTGGATTCTTCAAAGAGATCCATAAGAAATATAATATTGAGTAAACCTGCAGTTCACTTTAAAAAGAAAAAAAGATTTACAGCCGTTATGATGGCTTGATACAAAGAAAATTAGTATTTAGATGGTAGCAATCAGTACAACCTCATATAGTCATGTACTGATATTATTGTTAGAACCAGTAGAAGTCCTTTTTAAAAAGTAAACATGCTTCATACTTCTGTAAAGATATATGAGATGATAACTTTTGATAAAACATTCAGCTCAAACGATTTCTACAGTGATTTTAAACGGTTACAAAATATACATAAACATTTTTTAACTTCATCAGCCTGTTGGTAAAAATATAGACTATTTTTCAGTGAAGTTACGTGAACCTAAAAAAGTTGAATATGATGCATTAGATGAGTAAAATTTGATTCTGGTACTGAATAAAACTGTTAAGTGCGGTTAGGCTAGGTTAGGTCCAAAGTGAGTGGGTCTATTCGACCTACCACTGCCACCCGCAAGGGTTTATTGTGGCTCACACCTATTCACACTCGACTAACTAAACCCAGCTTCTTAACAATACCAATTAGTTTGTATGGTGTGTGGTCTTTCAGGTCAGATGGTAAGAGTACGGCTTTGCCAAACTCTGAAAACCTGATTCAGTCCCCGGCGGGGCTGGCATAAAGTATGTGTTCTGCTGTTTCTTCATTATCCAAACAGAGGCGACACACACAGTCTTCTGAAAGTCAGGGACTCTGCATAAGATGATTCGAATGACAGTGATCTGTGAAAAGGTCTGTTGGATATCGCAGTTCATCCCTACTATAGTCCAATAACTGTTTGGTATCAAGCTTCGAAGAGTGAGCCCCTTTGGGGTAGACAAAAACACAGGTTTTTACTATAAAAACAATTTTCACTATGTTGACTGTTCATTTTACCATTGGCGGAGCAAATAATTTATCCATAAAATGCCATCCAATTTCAAATTATGTAAAAAAGGATTTTTTGAAATATATTTGCTTTGGATGCTCTGAAACTTTTTATCAAAGTTGTCTAGAAAGGAAAAAGTATGCACAGTTAAAATGACATATAGTTTATTGCTTTCAGAAATGTGAGAATGGTGAAAATGAAGAATCACAGGAAGAAATCAAAAAGCTAGTAAAAGAGAATGAGGAAAAAGATAACTGCATGAAGCGTTTCAAGAGACATTCTAAAGTTAACAAACAATTTCACAATGAGTGATTATGTAATTTTTATTGCAAGGTTGAATAATTTCGGAAGGAAAAATAAACCTGCTTAAAAGATATTTATGAAAAAATTAAATATTGCAGTTATACAAATTTTATATTAGAATCAGCAATTTGTTTTGAAACAAGAAGCTAATGATGAGCTTAACATTAAGAATGACTTTTCTGTATTGACTTAAAACGAATGAAAGTAAAAGTACAAGTGATGAGAATAAAATCAGCGATGAAATAAATTTTTCAAGAATAAATGGATCCCTGTGATAGTTGCAAAAAAAATCTGTGCAGAGGTGAAGCCTGTGAAAATTTAACAGAAATTTTGAAAGATTAGCCAACAATTCATTGTCTTCTCAGAACAAAGACGCAGATACTGATGAGTCCTCAGAAGAGGGTTATATCTGAACTATTAGAGAGACAAAAAAGGGAAGGAAATATTATGATAGGAGGACTGAAGGAGTCCCAGGCTAATACTCTTCAGAAACGTGTAGAAGAGGATTTGAATGTAACTTATGAGTTACTTAATAAATTCAACGTTGATATCAGTGATATCAAGGTTTTTAGAGTAGGAAAAACTATGGGAAATAAACCTAGGCTACTCAAAGTTATTCTCAAATCACGAGAAGATGCTTTGAATATCTTAAAGAACAGCCGGATTAAATTACCAAACCTACGAATATTCAGTGATCAAACAAAGAGGCAACGGGAATACTACATGAAAATGAAGAGTCAGCTGTAAGAAATGGAAAAAAATTGTGATTTCTCAAAAAAAATCAAATATATTAACAATAAACCTACATTAGTAAATAAAACTATGATAGCTACATCAAAAAACAAGTAAAGCTTCCTAATATACAGTATCATAGTGATATCATTTATTTGATCATTCAGAGTACCTATCTTAGCAAATAGAAATGAGCTTATAGTAAGAATCATATGTTATAATCCTGCTTTAGTGCTATTAAGTGAAACCCGTACAACTGGAGATATAGAGGATTCAGAAATTTATCTCCCAAACTATAATTGTGTCCGTTGTGATTCGATGTCCAGACACACAGGAGGGGTTATACTGTATATAAGAACAGATATAAAATTTTTTATATATAAAACTTAAATTTCTTCGAAATAAATGTGTGAATTTACTGAAACTCAAAGAAAAAAAACACTATTATGATAAAATTGATCAAAATAGGTCAAATCCGAGGATTATGTGGAAAACACTCAAACAACTTGTATGTCTGAAAACTAATAGCAATACGTTTACTGATGTTATTTATTTCAAAATAAATGGTTAGTTATTCATAAAAATAATCTAGATATTGCAGAATCATTTAACAAATTTTATATTGATAGCGTACAAGAAATTGTGAACACTATTGATCAATCTGATTCACTTCATGAGAACAATGTTATATCGATTAACAACTCCTTCGAGAAATTCAAAGTGTTGGAGTTGGCAGATCTGTCTAAATTGATCAACGGAGTGGAAATGAAATACAGCAGTGAAATACTCAACTGCAAACTTATTAAAAAAACATTTGGTGTTATAGGACATGCATTGTTGCATTTTATAAATAGATCTTTGAGCACTGACAGATTCCCGAAGGAGCTCAAGACCAGTGTCCTTGTGCCAATTCAGAAAGTCCCTAACACAAATAAATCCTAGGAATTTAGACCAATCAACACTTTGCCTTGTATTGAAAAAATATTAGAACTCGCAGTTTATAATCAACTTATTGAATATCTAGAAAATAATGATATTTTACTAAAATATCAGTCAGGTTTCAGAAAACATCATTCATGTGTGTCTGCATTACAAGTCACAATATCAAAATGGAAAGAATCAACAGATGAGGGACATTATATCATAGCCGTATTTTTAGATCTTAAAAGAGATTTTGAGACAATTGTTCGCCACATATTACTGATTATTTATCACAACACAAACAGGTAACCAAAATAAAGGATTCAGTGTCATCATCTCGCAATGTCATTTTTGGGGTAGCTCAGGGGAGTGTTTTGGGACATATATTATTTTTGATCTACCTGAATGATATAGATACCATCCATGGTTGTGATTTCATTAACCTTTTTGCAGACGACACCTTGTTATCAATTTCAGGAGATAATATAGAAACAGTAGCTGATCAAATGAATAATGAACTAAGAAATGTTTTTAAGTACATGAATAGCAATAAATTAAAACTCAACACCTCCAAAACAAAATATATGATCTTATCAACTGGTTATAAGCTATCACTCATCAACAATCTCAACATAAGATTACAAATTGCAGGTGATGTAATAGAGTTCGTAAGTGAATTCAAATACTTAGGTTTCATGGTGGATAATCGTTTATCTCTTCATGCTCATTTTGATTATATATATAGAAAAATTACTAAAAAAATATATTTTTTCTCAAGAATTTCATCTCAGCTTTCGATGTACTCAAAAATTACATTATATAATTGTATAATCCAACCCCATTTTGATTATTGTGCTAGTCTGTTATACTCATTTGACCAAAATAAGGTATCGGCTTTACAAAAGTTACAGAATCGTGGAATGAGGATTATTTTACAAGTGAATAGGTATTCTAGTATATCAAACATGTTAAGTACATTGCAGTGGCTGTCTGTTTCCCAGAGACTGTACGAGTTAGCAATGATATTCATTTTCAAACTAACACATAACTTGCTTCCAACTTATTTTGAAGAATTCTGTATATATAAATCTCAAATCCATAACCACTTAACAAGAGCGAGTAGCTCCCAAAAATTCCACCTTCCTCGAACTAATTTGACTAGTACGATGAAGTCTTTATTTTATAAAGGTTTGAATGAGTATAACAAACTCCCACTTTCGTTGAAAAATTCAATAAATGTTTTCTAATTAAAAAAAAAACTCATGAACTATATAAAATATCATACTTGATTTTCTTTTTTCTGTTTGGTAATATATTTATAATGTATATTCTCCTGTTGAAACCATTATGGAATCATTGAAAAATGGTTTTTATTTTTTTTTTCTTCTATCATATCATCATTTTTGTTATTTATGTCATTTATTTATATATTTTTAAAATAATGTATGTATATTAGGATGTCCTAAAGAAATCAATAAATATTATTATTATTAGGATTACAAACTATCAAAATAGAACGTATGTGATACCTATAAAATGTTTTATTCACCTATCAATCAGCAACTCGAACAGCTAAATGAAAGACTAATGTACACTTTACTACCACAAAATTAATTCGTTTTGTGCTTCGTTCGGTTAGTACGACATAGTATATCCGGTCCCTTGAAAATCGTTATATTCGGATTCCACTGTATAACAATTTAATTTTTTATTTGAATATAAAAAGTTAACCAGCACATTTTCATGAATTGCATAAATCGATTCTAACTAAAAATCCTATTTTAGTATGCCCACCTCACAAATGATATTTTAAATTCTGAAATAGGTACTATTACAGGTTGATAGTAAAAGTAACACAGGAAGTTCAATTATTTATATTAGGAATGATTTTGAACTAATTACTCTGGGAACAATATTATATACAAAAAAAATATTAAGTTACTAAAAAATTTCTATACTTTATATTTCAATAAGTCGAAAGCTAAAAAAGAATACTGAAACTGATAGAATTCAATAAAGCACCACTCACCTTTCAGAGTTTATGTCGATGTTTGTGTCTTTGTTGTTTTTGCACATATTTGAAACTCTTATAACATACTCCAACTTTCTGGGTTGCTCTTCCACTTTGGCGGCTAGGAAGAGAGCTGCAGAAGCCATCTGGTGCCATGGGAAATTTGTAAATGAATGAAATACATAAAAGCGGTGCATATACACTATGGCTGTATTTATGCATAGTTGAGACCTAGAGAAAACATATGAAAATGTAAATGAGAAGTTCTTGAAGTTATGGATAAATTATAATGTTCATAACAGCATTGTTCACGAAGGTCACCCGACCATCTCCTTTGGTCCTGAATATCACTGGAGTTTTTTCCCAATACCAAACCGTTATTTTCAACACCTCAACATGTGTTTCAATCACCAAGTGATCATCTTCAAGAGAAGTTTATTCTTCCTCTTGAAGATAATCACTTGGTGATTGAAACACACGTCGAGGTGTGAAAAATAACACAGATTGGTGTTGGGATTAAACTCCAGTATTTGAATTGACTTATCTGAATATTTTTTCTGACATTTTTAGTATTTTCAATATTTCATCATTTTATTTGTTGTTCTCATATATTAAAAAATCCGTTGACATCTTCTTTGAGAATGGGAACCCAAATCTGTAACATTCAGTAACATTTACTAAGAAACATTATTATCCATCACTTTCAAACAATTATTATATCAATAACTTTTTTAAAGCAAGCTTCTGCAAATAATTTCGAATAAATAATAAACCATATACTCTGAAGTCTGAAATGTCTTATTTATTCTACAAATTTTCGACAATTGAAACATTTGTGGGTCATAAAAAACAACTCAATAAAGAAACAGCAGAATTATAATTTGTGGAATAAATAAATAGCCATTGCTGAATATGCACAGGAAACAAAACCACTGACCCAAACTACATGAATGGAAAATAGAAATGTCCAAAAAAAGCAGTGAGAAAAAAATGCTCATATAGGTACTAATAGCAAAATCTGTGAAATCTAGCGTAGTAAAATTATTTGCATAACACTTGTGTGACCCCTTTCAACATTTACTTGTGAAAATAATGTACTTAGTGCTTTATTTTAAATTTATTTTTTATTACTTCTCTCCCGCTGATAATTTTTGATACATTGAAATAAGGCCGTGATATCTTTAAAAGGTCACCTCATATTTTGTAAATAATAAATTTCCGTAATATACAGGAATTCCTTTCACCTAAACAATTCTCAGTCAGTTGTTGCTGAGACTTCAAGATATAAATTTCGTCCTCACAGTCAACACACATCGTTGGTCCTAAGGCAAAACAACGAATGTGAAGAAAAAGAAAGCTAACTTCACTTATATGCATGGTTGAATTTGGTTTTGTGTTACGTTTCCTATGACAAAACCACGAATGTGGAAAAAAGCTCTAACTGTAACTAAAAAAACCTCTGTGAATTTATTGTTACAATACCAAATCACGAATGTGGCACATTCGTATTTTTGCCGTAGTAGAATCCACTCAAATGCTTGCTCAAGCTCGAGCACAAATACTGCAACTCAATCGCAGAAGAGAGACGAGTAGAAATATACTTAGACTTTTAGAAAATTAACTACCATCCACAATCAGCGACATTTTATTGTCAATCATGTGTAACGAAAAAATTCAAAAAGGACTATGATAAATTTAGACCATTCGCGAAAAATATACACCAACCACTACAGTTTTACTGTGAGAGGAGAAAAGCAAAAGGTATGTAGGGATTTTTGTATTGCCACCCTTAACGTTACATCCCCCAAAAGTAAAGCTAGCGAGGATATTGAAAATTTTCTGCAAGATCACATTTTGAAGGAGTGCCCAAATTTGTAGATCTCCATATCTATAGAGTGGCTCCCGATACCACCAAGGAAAGTATGGAATCCCTACTCAAACCGAATTTTCCTGAAGTTAGTTGCGAACCTCTGAAATCACGGCATCCTCAGCTATATGCCTCATTTAAGGTATAAATATATGATCATAACTTCAACAAAGAGATGGATCCAACCTTATGGCCTGAAAATGCATGCATCAGCCGTTTTTTATACCTCAGAAGAATGGAACGGCAAGACAAGACCAAAAGTTTTTGATCCCCAGCTGTTACTTCTCAACGTAGAGTAGAGTATCTCACGTGATAAAATTGATAATATCCTAATGGATATAAATTCCTTCAAAAATATAAATTTTATTTGACTGACAGAGTTATGGGAAACCTCTGACTCAATCAAACAAGTTCATATCAAAAACTTCCATCTCATTGACGGCTATTGTAGAACCTCATTCAGAGGTGGTGGTGTAGGAATCTGGGTTAGAAATAATATAAAATATAATATATTGACAAAAAAAAATTCTGTTGTGAGAAAGACTTTTTGAAGTCTCAGCACTTTCATATAAATCTAAAACAAGTAATACACTCCTCATTTCAAATTGCTATAGATCTCCATCTGGGAATTTGCAAATATTCCTAGAAAAACTTGATGATGTACTGAATTACTTATACAGAGCAAATGTTCAGTTTATGACCTACGGCGACTTGACTACCTGAAATTGATGAATATCTTAGCGCCCTTCCAAATTGATAATAATTTAGTCAGATGGCCAACTAGAGTTACAATCAACAGTATAACTATTAGTTATAGAAAATAGTTTCACGAATTTTACTAATGACTGTATTACCTGCATTCTTGACAATACCATATCAGACCATAGAAGCGTCTATGTGGACTTCAATATTGAAGCTCCAAAACAGAGATCACAATCTTACCATAAAAGAAATTTCAATGATATCTCAATTGCAAATTTTTTGAGAGATCTATTGAATGAAGATTGGTCTGGTATATATGCAAATATTGATGTTAATATGGCGTTCTAGTCTTTCATGGATATACAGATACAGATAATTTATTCATCATTGAAGTTTATTACACAATGGTACAAAACTTATCAGACTAGTCAAATCATATAGTATTAAAACTCATAAAAACATTATAGAGCTCACAAGAAATGTTTATACTACTTCAATATTAATTTTCCATTAAAGAAATTTTTTTTTAATTGATTGCTACTAGCAGAATGTCTAACAAGTACTGGTAACTTGTTGTAAAATTTCATTGCCATATAATAAGAAGATTTTTCAGTAAGTCTCAATGTATGATATGGAAAAATGAGGTCGGTCATGCCTCCTAGTGTTATATTCGTGTTCTGTAGCATTTGGATTAAAAAGTTCTCTATTTTTAATCAAATACATCAAACATTCAAAAATATACAGAGCATATTCAGTCATAATGTTATTATTCTTAAAAACTGTTCGACAAGAGTCCTTATAATGTTTGTAATTCATTATTCTAATTACTCTTTTTTGTATAACAAATATTCTATTTGTATTCTTGTTGGATCCCCAAAAAATTATTCCGTATCTCATGACAGATTCAAAATTTGCAAAGTAAAGAGATAAAGCTGCTTGTTTTTCTAGATGTTTACTGATTATTCTCAGTCCATAGGACACTTTTCCAAGCTTCGAAGAGATTTCCTCTATATGTTGTGACCAGTTATACCATTCATCAATGTAAACACCCAAAAACTTGGTGTCATGCGATAACTGAAAGGAATAATTGAAAAATGATATATCATTTGGTTTTTCCTCTGCTGTTTAGATACTAACTTATTTGTTTTCAACCAGTTTTTTGTTTTCTGAAAAATGTTACCACAGTTTACCATCATCTCCGGATATGTTGCTCCCCCTGCCAGAAGGCTTGTATCATCAGCATATATAGTTATAAATTGATTCTCTACTAATTAAGATTTGCATAAATCATTCATAAATATAACGAACAACAGTGGGCCTGCTACACTTCCTTGCGGTATACCTATAGATGTTATAATATCAGATTTGAAGACAGTCGTATGCTTTTGACAAGTCAAGAAACACACCCAGAACTAGATGCCGTTTTTCCATCAGATCAATTATGTTCTGCGTATATTGGAAGATTGCCTTTGTGTTGATTTTTTTGTAAGTAGCCATGTTGATTATCACTGAAGATATTACACTCATGAAAAAACTGTATAACTTTATTACACATTGCGGTTTCAAATAATTTAGAGAAATTTGGGAGTAAGCTTATGGGTCTGTAATTTTCAATACAACTTGTATCCCCTTTTTTGTGTATAGGTTGTATAAGAAGAACTTTATTTCCAGATAGGCAAGCCTAATATAACTGAAAGCTTGGGTTGCGAAGGAAAAATACCAAAATTCAAGGAATTGTTAATTATGTGTGATAAAATATCTTTAATTTCTATTGTGCATTTTCTTATCAAACAAGTTGGAATTTCATCTTCTCCGCTTGAATATTTGTTCTTCAAATTATTTGACATTGCAACCACATCATTTGTAGTTATTGGTTGTATACACATCGACTGAGGGTTTTCCATTATTTCACAAGTGAAATGTTCATTATTATTCTCAACTAATTTTGAGGATATTTTGCTGAAATAATTATTGAATTTATTCGATATATCGATTGGATCACCCTTTATGTCACAGCTTTGCCTCTTTACTTTGCCGGTAATTTTGTTGCAGATACTCCACATACATTTTGTTTTGTTATCAGAATTTTTTATACGCTATTTATAATTTTCCTGTTTTGACGATACTTATAGAATCCATCTCTACATATGCTCATTTTACACTATATGAAGATGACACATCACTGGTTATATCAGATAAAATATATCAAAATCTACAAACCAAAGGTAACTTAATCCTGCAAAAATTTAAACACCTGGTTCAAGGAAAATTCCCTACATTTGAATAATCAAAAAACACGTTGGATAAGATTTCATACTAGACAAAAAGAAATAGCCAGATTCAACTTGCAAATTGAAATGATGAAATTTCTCCGTGCTCTACGATGAAATTTTTAGGTGTACACTTGGATGAATTTCTCAGCTGGAAAACTCATTGTGGAACAGTTATATCAAAATTGAACTCCATGAATTATCTTTTGAGAAACCTTCGTAATATTTTCGACCAGAAACAGTTGATTATGCTGTATCATGCTCAAGTTGAATCGCGTCTTCAGTATGGTATTAGTTTCTGGGGAGCTCCCACTTCATGCAAAGATGTTTTTGTCGCCCAGAAAAAGATTATAAGATGTATAGCAGGAGTCTCAACAAATACAAGCTGTAAAAGCATTTTTTTTAATTTTGAAATACTAACATTGCCATGTCTGTATATATTCGAATTATGTGTTTTTATATATGATAACCGTAACTGTTTCATAAGAAATGAAAATGTGCAATCTATTGATACCAGGTACAAGACAGACTTTCATATGCCATATTGTAAAAATGCACTGACTTACAATTCCCCCAATGTAATAGGGCCCAGATTATTTAATCTGCTACCACTTGAACTAAAAAACTCTAGTACTATCCACAGCTTCAAAATTACACTTAAGTCTTTTCTGCTAGAGAAAAACCTATTACTCCTTTCAGGAAATGATTGAATAATAAAATGAAAATTTCAATGAATGTATTACTCTTAGTAAATTGTCTTATTTTTAGTTATACTTTTAAGGTCTTTTCTGACTAATCCTACACAATGTACCTTTTTGATTGTCTTACAGGATAATGAAAATTATTATTATTATAGACTAACATTCATTCACTCCTGATAAATATAGTGTTTCAATGATAGTTTCTTGTTAAAAGGTTGATATGAGCATGAATCTAAATATGGAAATATGAAAATTAACCCTCCCTTCATGAAAATAAATACCATTAATGTCGATTAATTATATTAAGAGTGATACCAACCCTAATGTTCAATTGACAGCAAGATCAGAAAATTTTTTGAGAACAAATAACTTACAAATAACCTATATGTACATTGAGATTTATTTTTAAGAAACGCCTAAAAGGGCGAGTCGAAACCCCTGATATAAATATATTTTAATAACACTTTGGCAAAAATGTGTTGAGATCGATATTAATCTAGAACCTAAAAGTATTCAAAATAATTAATTTCAAACCCATATATGATTTAGGCTGAATAACAATAGGAAGGGTAATCTAACACCTACTGCTCCAGTTATTAAATATCTCTCCGCCAGAACACAATCACTACAGGAAAATCGTTAAGGCACTCTAAGATCGGTACCTGTATAAAAGTAGTGATTCAAACCCAATGTGAATCCATTTGGATATTAAAAAAATACACATTGTGAGATTTTCACTTGAAAGTTTACAAAAACACATTGAAGTGTTTTTTTGAATACATTATAACAACCGAGATCCCATCTCTAATGTTTTATTGAATATAAACCCCTTCTGCCAAAAAGTTAATGTGATGGTTCAAATGACTTATAAAAACCATCTCTATATCATGCATATATAGATTTATTTTTGAGAATCGGAAAGATGAGTTAACACCCCCAATATAAATATATTTCAATAATACTTCGCAGAAATGTTTTGAGTTTGAAATAAATCTGAAACATCGAGATATTAATTTCTTTTATTATTTTTTTCTTTTGTTCTGTTTGTGTTGACTAGTGTGATCAATGTTGTACCAGTAATGTATATGTTATGTGTGTATGATATTTTAATGATGAATAAATTATATTCTTCTATTCTGTTCTATAAAAAATAAAACCCTCATTTCAAATATGTATATGATACAGGATAAATGATAATAGGAAGGGTAATTTCACCCCTATTGCTCCAGTTAATAATTGTCTCTTCGCTAAAAACAAAAATATATCAAAATTCTTGACTTACAAAATATGGAAGAAAGCACTTCTCTTAAAGACAACACAGCCCCAGTATCTTCAATTTTATCAAATAGTTTTTTAGAAATAGAGAAATAAAAATATAAATGAACTTCAATAAATTTCAACTTCATGATTTTTTTTTCTTAACTGAAATGAGAAGAAAGTTTCTCTATTCATCAAAATCTCAATTACAAACCTGTTTGAAATCGATTTGGGCCCACTAACATATCGACGGGTTAATTTAACAATTCTTTCCGTACTGGTCCCTGTTAGTAGACTGTTGCAAATTATTTTGATTCATTTGCGGAAAATGTGTTTCCTTTTTCAATATCAAAATATGTAATGGTTAAATTGAAGTTGCCGACAGAGTGGATTCTTTTGCGTCTCATGATTTCATGTAAGATCAGATATCTACATTTTTACTCCCTGCAGGAATGCTCAAATAAGTGAATGTTCAATTCAACAGCTGGCGTAAGTTTTTGAATTTTTTTTTAAACAGACACATATTTTCATCAGCTGATCACAACTCAGAAGTCTAAACTTGGCGTTCTGTTCTACTTTTGGAGAAATGAAAACTCAAAAATAAAAAAATCGATTTTTTCAGAAACTCACTTCCTGTAACAAACCCCATATAATTGAAATTGTCTTTTCACAAATGCATGATACTAAACTTTACTCACTTAATAGTATTGCTACTAACAACAACAATTATAAAATAGATGAATTTAGGTAACAAATAACTTCGATGGCTTTTCTATAATATTATATTATAAAACTGATGAAATAGAGCTCATTAGGTAACCATATGGCACCTAAAATTTTTCTATACAAAAAGTGTACTATAGTCTGACATTTTTCAATTGAAGGTAACTCATATACAAATTGAAATGAGAGCTAACGGCAACAATGTTAAATGTTAGAACTAAATTCTTACCGGGGTCATTTTTATTGTCTATGACCCCGTAAGAATTTAGTTTTAACATTTAACATTGTTGCACATTGTTGCCGTTAGCTCTCAGTTCAATTTGTATACGAGTTACCTTCAACTGAAAATTGTCAGACTATAGCATCGATATTGTATCTTTTCCATCAAACTAAATGCTACTATAAACACAACTGATTATCTGGTACACAGCACGTGTTTTGCTAACCAAGTTAGCATCATCAAGAGAAGTACCGATTCTACCTATCACAATTGTTAATGAAAGCAAATGACACTTTCACAAAATAATTTCTGTAGTGGTTTATTTGAAAGGCTGAATTGACAAGAAATTGATAAAAACAAAAGCTTTGTTATTTCATGACTGACTTTTTGAGATACTGCAAATAATAACGAACGACGACATTATCATTACATATATATTCATATCGATAGATGAAACCGGATATTTTCAAATGAAAGTGTTACCAAAGGTAAAAGTAACACAGCATATGTATGAACAGGCAGAATAATCACTGTTCAAGTGATTAGGCTGAAACTTTATGATTTTATCATAAAACAAAAATATAAAAACATTTTGCTATAAGAAACAAATTATTTGATATTGGTAAAGCTCCCAGCTGGCTATCATGAAAAGAAGGTGTTATTTTACATGTTTCTATTATGGATATTGAGTCCCTGAAATAGATTTTTCCAACCATTTCAACTTATGTGCTGCTATTAAAGTAGACTGGAGGACAAAATTTTCATATGGGTCTACTTAAATTTGATTCAAAAGCGAGAGCAAGATATTGAAAATCATATCCATTAATGAATGCTAAAATACCCAGGAACATATAATAAAAATATGTTTTCGAACTGACCCTGAGAATCTATAAACTTTGCTTCCAAAAACCAAACCTAAAGGAGTGAAAACATACACTTTCAGCCTCTGTCCCATATCCTGTATGAAGTTAGCAGCCTGTTGCCTGTACCCCAGCTCTTTGTGGGCATCGAGGCCAGCCCTTCTTGAAGGGGAGTTTTCCAGTTGCTCCTTTGTGAAATACCATATCTGAACGGGATTCGGATTAGCCATTTATCTTGAAGGGAATACAGATGGCGTCATCGACATCAAAATAATGTGGAAATTAAAATAATGGTGGTTTTTGAATGTGTAGCAATTCGCACCATCAAAACAACAATAACTCGCAAAACAAATACTGACAATTCACTTATCACAAGGTTGAAGTATTCGCGAGTTAATTGCGTCACTATTTCTTAGGGTTTCCCAGTCTCTCTTGCTCTAGATTTCACCAGGAAAAAGACAAAGCGACTTTGGGTAAATTAGTTCAAATCCATAGGCATCCTTTCAGTGTTAGTCTGAGAAACTTTCAGTGAAGACGAGGTAGTTTATATATTACTAAAAAGGATGTATTTACGAAGTCGTAGAATTTGATGTTATTCACTGTTCGATGGCCGACCAACCACGATAAACAGCACAGAATCTAAATGATCGTTGGATTTGTCACCGTTCAAGAGTTCTGTGGAATTACACCATTCAGAAATAATTTGGTTAATTACGCAGCACAATTTTACATACAAAAAGCTTATTCCCACTTTATTTTTTGAAAACAAAAACTCTCAACTGACTAAAAGTAGGAAATATTTACTCAAATGACAGCAAATAGAAAGCTGTCAATAATGTCTGATCGTCACACGCACTATTCGAAAACACAGAACGACAGAACACTTCTCACACGCACTATTCGAGATCACGAACACTTGTACGCTTTCGAAAACATGATAGTTGCATTGAACTTAAATAATAACTAGAACACTCAATTTACGCCTGTACTTGTACTTATAAACCTATTTGAACATCGGGGTGGGGATGACATTTTCAGAGCTACCTGATCTGGCAGATTGAAATGTTTTTAAACAAAGACCTCAACAGGTATTTTCGAAGAAGTGCGAATGATTTGAGAACGGCCTCAAGAATACCGATTTTGAAGGAATTGTACATACGAATGATCGCACCAGCACCTACACAAAGAATTTCGAGCGACTCGAAAATATTTTCTCAGACAAAGGAAGTAACCAGATGCCTTATTTTTGAATTGGTGAACTCTCACATCGACAGAAACATCGGATATCCCCTTCAGTTTTACTTTCAAAACACAGAAAGACATCTGATTCTTTTCTCGATGTAAGAGTTCACTTGACCAGGGGGTCAATTGACGAGGTCGTACGGTTGTGATGTAATGAGCGAACATTTCATAGAAAGGCAATTCTAGAGAAACGATTCTCGAAATCGTTGAATGCATACATACGTTCGTGAACGAGTAGTATCGAACGTATAATTTCATCGATCTCAATTCTGGAGCACATTCTGCAGCTACTCGTTCTAACGAACGTCTACGTTCATTTTCACCATAGAAATAAAAACTCAAATCGCCGATTGACGACTGAGGTATCGTAAAGTTATGGCAAAATAAATCGAGCGTATCAGTCGTGATTCAGTATTCGTAGAGTACACTTATTCTTTTGAAAAGGCATTTGAAGTTCAGTTTTCTAAATCAAAATGGTTTAGTGTTTTGTTTAAGTGTGATTTAATACTAGTGTAAACAAAATTTAAGCTTTTTTCGGTCTGAAAATCCATAGATGAGTAAATAAAATATTCGTATGTTTAGCTTCGCAGTCATAAAAAGTTACGGTATGAACCGTACTCGCTAATTTGTCCGAAATTGGCAAGCAAGTTATTATTTATATATCGGGATTTGTAGTAAAGTCTCTTGAAAAGGATAAGGAGAGGTTCAACTTCAGAATCAGATAATGCTTCCGAAGCTGAAAGCAAACCTGAAAGCATGTAATGACGGACGATTCGCCACAATCTTCTGAACACGTGGAAGGAAGCGGAAACGTACTCGCAGAGGAGGCTACACCAAGTACCTCAACACAGGTACCCCCAAAGAAACAGGCACAAAATATGCCTGTACCCACCCCTAGAGAGGCTAACAAACCCCAAAACGAAGTTAATGAGATACCTGCAGCTACACAGGTACCTCGAAAAACAAGAAACCCCTACCTATAACTATTAGACTGAATGATAGTTGGATGCGGTTCAGCGAACAGGTAGCTCGAGAGAATATTGGTTTCACTAAGGCTATCAATACAGCAGATGGAATAAAAGTGTAGCCATCTAGTATCCCCGACTATAGGAAGAAGGTGGCCCTATTAGAGGCCATGATTATTCTACATCATACGTACAGTATGACTGATGAGAAACCCCTTCGAGTCGTTTTTCGAGGTGTCCCAGAATTTTTGGATATCAAAGACATCAAGGATGAATTCATAGCGAGAGGATTCAACCTGTTTGCAATCTCTCGAATGAAGAAAGCGAACAGCAAAGAGCTGCATCTAGTACTTGTACTCATCCAGAAAGAACAAAGCCACATATTCGAGATAAGAGACATTCTTAACATAATAGTCAGAGCAAAGACTCAGCGACCTAGAACAACGGTAGGTCAGTGATATCGTTGCCAAAGATTCGGACACATGCAGCGGAATTGCAAAGCCATTCCTATCTGCGTAAAATGCGCCGGACGACATTTAACGTCCGAGTGCTAGAGAGACCGACAGTTGCCTGCAAAATGCAACAGCTGCAAAGGAGCGCATCCCGCTAGCTTCCGCTGATGTCCAGCGTTCCCCAATTTTCAAAATAATCGAAGATATCCTAACCAATCAGCCCACTAAAGACAACCTATCCCCGTAAGGCAGCCAAGACCCCCTCAGAGACAACAAATTACCGCCTCAAGAAGCCCCATGTCTTCGCAGCAAACCTCACCGTCACTACCAGAAACTAAATGGTCAAACATCATATAGTACCGGATTCCCAGAATATTGTCACCTGGAATGCCAACGAATTACTCAGGAAGAAGCTCGACTTAGCGAACTTTCTGATAGAAAACGACGGAAATATCATGCTCCTGCAAGAGGTTCTCTTGCAAGGACATACCATAGCGATCCCGAACTAATAAAAGAGACAGAATCGATAGACGTGGAGGTAACGTAGCCATTATCAATTAGACACGCTCAAATTGGTCTAAACGAGTATGCGCTAAATCGTGTAGAAGCTATAGGCATCGAAGTAAATCTTCAAAGGGGTTTACACCGAATTATGTCGGTATATAACTTCCCCCCATAACCGTATACAGCCGGAAGCACTAAGTGCTCTTCTGTTAGAAACAGACACCGCGACGATAGCTGCAGGTGATTTCAACGCGAAACACACGCAGTGGAACATGAACGGCAGAGCGCTTTACGCCCATGCTGATGAACACGGTTATCAGGTTCTGGAACCGCCGTTGCCTACCTATTACCAAACACCGTTCGGACCTGACGTTCTTGACATTATTTGTCAGGAACATCACCCTCAACTAGGATATATATGTGACTTCTGAGCTTGACTCAGATCACAACCCGGTGACACTGTTTCTAGGGGACGGCTCCCCAACACAAAACGATAGCGTAAGAATCAGAAGCAACTGGGACGCTCTCAAGCCGCACTTGGAAGCAATCCCCGTCATCGAACGACCACCGGAAACACCCGAAGCCTTAGATGCTACGGTGACACAGTACGAGGAAAACTTAAGAAACGCACTCGCAACGGTTACCGCGACTTACTTGGTACCAAGGAAATCCTATAACGACGGATAAATACTCTAATTAGATAAAGAATCGTCTCAGAAGAAGATACCACAGGACTCTATTTCCAGGAGATAGAGCCAGTTCGAATGTGACCCCCTTGTCTTGTTCCAGTCACGTGATTCTAATTAAACAAAGTTTATAGTTATGAGAATCGAACCTGGATCGTCCGCGTGGTAGACATTGTCCTTAGCCTCTACACCAACGTAAGATATTGAAAGTAACTGCAAATGATGGGTATTTACAGCGTAAGTTTTGTCGGGACCGGAATTGAATCATTTTATATACTTCACCGCATTTTTTTGATTTCCATAGAATGTTAGGGGAGTTGTAATCATCATTATCATGTTGAAGATAGGAAAATATACTTAGATTTGGGAAAGAATTAATATTTCATATAAAGATGTGTATGTGTGTGTAAGAGCGAGAGACGCGTGTGACGTAATCGAGGTAAAGAGAGATGGAGATGGTATCGAGGTTTTACGTTCCTAGCGCAGCAGGTGATGTCGATTGTTGAATAAATCGTTGTTTATGGGGCAATGTAGCGTTACCGGTTTTGAAATTAATCGTGAACGACTCGATAAAAAATTGGAAGCGCGAAAGTGATATATTAATAATAATAAATCAGATTTAAGAAAAAATATTACAGATTAATGAGGCTGTATAGTTTCAAAGTGCAATCCCTCAATGTTACAAGGTATCTCAAAATACATCATTGAAAACAAACAAGGCGTCGAAGTGTTCAGAGTGCGTCAAAATACATCATTTAAGAAAAAAAACATAACAGTTCCACGAGGCTGTAGGTTTTCAACGTGCGATCCCTCAATGTGTACAAGGTATCTCAAAATACATCATTAAAAAAAACATGGCGTCGAAGTGTACAGGGTGCGTCAAAATATATCAATCATGAAAAAACATGTCGGTTTGAAATATGGTATTAATTTGTATACAGGGCGTTTCAAAATATATTTAAGAAAAAAACATTTCGGTTTAACAGAAGTCTAGCGTTCCAACATGTCAGAAGGACACTAAGTCTCGTATCTTTGTTAACCAAGTTAGCATCATCAGGAGAAGGAGGAGATGGCACTAAAGATGTCGAAGAATTACGTATTGTGGAGTTAACATAAGAAAATGGAGAAAGCGAAGTATTCGACCGTTTTGCGTGCCACCGTTTTGCGTGGACCATTTTGCGTGGACCATTTTGCGTGCGTTTTCGACCGTTTTCCATGCGTTTTCGATGGTTTGCGTGCGTTTTTGACCGTTTTGCGTGCGTTTATTCGTTATCGTTTAATCGTTATTGTCGTAACGGTTTTTCGTGTTCCAATATGTCAGTCATTTATCATTTAACGCGTTCCGCTAACCATCATCAGGGGATGAGTAAACTAGCAGACAAAACACATATCACTTGCGTTAAGTGTGATGGAAGTTACAGTGTCAAACCACAATGCAAATTCTCAATTGAGGATTCTTGAGAATAGGCCAAGACCAAAGTCGTCAAAAAGTTAGGAACCAAAACTTTTTTGCTTTCCACGTAAGATACTCTTTCTGGCAGAAGGTAAAAAATTGAGCTCTAAGAGCTCCAGGGAGATAAGCTAGGCATCGGACTGCTAGGTCAATTTCAAAATACAGAAAAGGAACGATAATGTTCTTGGGAGGCATTATACTTATTAATAGTTGAAAGTCCTTTGCTTCTCACGCTACAAACCTTTACTGATAGGAATTATATTAATTTAAAGTATATTGTTTTGATTTGGTGTTAGAACCCGTAGTTGATCTATGAAGAGATGCATGTTCAAAGGTTTTCATATTCATGAAGAATTACACCTCTCCTCATATGACTCATGATTTTCATGATTACTCTAAATTATCTTGGAACATAAGGACTGGTCGTTCTGTAATGGTTTGCAGATGAGAGTACCACACGGAAGATGGAAGTATCATAGGAAAGTATATAATGTGGTTAACATAAAAAAC